GGATTCCTGCCCCATCCCCAGGGGCTAGGGCGGGGCCCCAAAGGGAACATTTACCAATATTTTCAAATTCTTATCCATTGATGACATGACAAGTATTGTATTTCACTTAGTTTACATGCTGATTTCCACATCACATCTAAACAATAAAATAAAGCTACCAGTACCTATGATATAACTCAGGTGACCGCTAAGGCCCTTGGGCCTCTTGTTATTTCATATTTTACATAGTCTGTTTTTTATGTTTGCTGATTTTCATTTTTAGCTCACCTGGCACAAAGTGCCAAGTGAGCTTATGCCGTGGCGCGGCGTCCATCGTCCGTCCGTCCGTCGGTACGTCCGTCCGTCCAGCGTCCGGCGTCAATATTTAACTTTAAACGACTTTTTCTTAATAACAGAAAGGCCTAGGGTGTCGATATTTGGCCAGAAGCAAACTTAGATGAAGGGCTACAAAGTTTGTTAAAATTAATGACCTTCACCTATTTTCAAGGTCACAGGGGTCAAATATGTCAAAAACTTTAAACATCTTCTTCTCAATAACCAAAATGCCCAGGGAGATGATATTTGGCCAGTTGCATGCTTTAGTGAAGGGCTACCAAGTTTTTTCAAATAAATGACCTTCACCCATATTCAAGGTCACAGGGGTCAATTGTATTAAAAAACCTTTAAACAACTTCTTCTCAATAACCAAAATGCCCAGCGTGATGATATTTAGCCAGTAGCAAGCTGAGATGAAGGGCTTCAAAGTTTGTTCAAATGAATGACTTTCACCCATATTCAAGGTCACAGGGGTCAAATATGTTTAAAACTTTAAACAACTTCTTCTGAATAACCAAAAGGCACAGGGTGATGATATTTGGCCAGTAGCATGCTGGGATGAAGGGCTACAAAGTTTGTTCAAACGAATGACCTTCACCCATATTCAAGATCACAGGGGTCAAATATGTTTATAAACTTTAAACAACTTCTTCTGAATAACCAAAATGCCCAGGATAATGATATTTGGCCAGTAGCATGCTGAGATAAAGGGTCACAAAGTTTGTTCAAATGAATGACCTTCACCCATATTCAAGATCACAGGGGTCAAATATGTTCAAAATATTTCAACAACTTGTTCTGAATAACAAAAAGGCTCAGGATGTTGATATTTAGTCAGTAGCATATGCTGGGATCAAGGACTACTTTGTTTGTCAAAGTGAATGACTTTGACTTATATTCAAGGTCACAAGGGGCAAATTTGTTTAAAATCTTTAAACAACCTCTTCTGAATAGCCATGGGTCCCAGGATGTTTATGCTTTGCAAGTTGCATCCTGAGATGAAAGGCTATACAATGTGTTCAACATAATGACTTTGTTCGACTTTCAATCACAGGGGGGAAATGTTTAAAAAAAATAAATAACAGGGTCTTTTGAATGAATTTTAATCAAAAATACTGATATTTTGCCTGTTATTTTAGATCACTTTTAAGGTTACAAGTGTTAGTTTTATACCAGGTGAGCGATGCAGGCCCATTGGGCCTCTTGTTTTATTTTACAATGTTTAGAAGTGATTGGTTGATGTCTAAAAAGAAACAAAAATAACCTACCGGTACTCATTAAATAAAATTAATTGATGCCAAATTAGAAAAGATGGTTAATTGATCAACTGTAGGAACCTTAAGTATCTTTGGAAATGACACAGCATGCAATTTTCGAATCTTGAAAATCCTCAAACTTAGTATTATCTTTCATAAAAACAACTTTGTTTAGAGTTAATTTACAACTCACAGACTAGAAAGAGTTGTACTACCAGTGAAAAGAAAAAATAGATATACAGATTCAAAGCTTCCAAAATCTTTTAATTAAAACTATAATTTCAAACTTTCTTATATTTCCAACAAGAGAGACACACAACTTAAAATTATTTTAACATTTATCCCATAATCAATCAGTTACATATACAAGCACAATCAATCAGTTACATATACAAGCACAATCAATCAGTTACATAAACAAGCATAATCAATCAGTTACATATACAAGCACAATCAATCAGTTACATATACAAGCACAATCAATCAGTTACATATACAAGCATAATCAATCAGTTACATATACAAGCATAATCAATCAGTTACATACAAGATTATCAATAATAAAAATTGAATATAATCAAATTAATAATGGAGGATGCTACATCTAATTGATGTGATGTGATTGGCTGTGATTTGGTGTGTGTCTCCACGCCATACCTCATTCAGGCTTGGCTGGGTTGCTGTAGTGTATTTGCACCAAACCCAATCAAACATTGTTTTCCTAGCGTATAGATATTAGGATTGTACGACAGGGATAGTGATCACCTGGGGGCTACGGAAGTGGACTGTTTTGGTGTGCCACATATTGATTTAGGGTTTATCTACTGTAGTTAACTGTTGCCTCCTACACAAAGCTACAAGTGCCATTCCGTTCCGTATATAGTGCTGTCCCCTGATATTACTTTCCAATGATTACATAAGATCCCATCAGGGGAACGCCCACTCATAGCTGATATAGTGTATTTTAACTGCAAGGAGTATATATACAGTACATTCCCTGACAACAGTGGTAGACTCACATCATCATTTTATGCTATTTTTTTCACTGATATTCACATTCACAAATGTAATGATTGATGCTGAATGTAGTAGTATTTTTAATCATGGCCATTTCTTAATTTTTTACAAAAACATATTGTAAAAAGACATTGTATATGTGAAATGAGTATTTGTACTGTTGCTATCATATTGTTACAGCGTCGTGTCTGATTGTAACCTACAAGTTAGAATCTAAAACCATTTCAGAATACAAGGGAAACCCTGTCTTGTTGTGGTCTTTCGGTGTAATGGGGGTCATTATGAAATCTATGACTTGCATGACTTACATTGATTTTAATTCTAATAATTACTGTAATGACTTCTAACGAGACTGGATACAACGAGTAATTTGATTTTAATGATGTCATATTAACAATTGTAACAAAGTGATTTTACTATCTGTGGGAACACACAAATGTGTCTTCAAAATTTCAAGGAAAATAGTATGGAAGTTGATAGAAGTACAAAATGTCCTGATTTATGATGACAAATTTGTTTCTTATTTATTTTGCAGGGAATCTTTCCAGCAGCCTTGATACACATCAAGGAGTGCAGGGTCGACAATGAAGGGTAAGTTGTCCCCCTTACTTCACATCATAGTGCAAGGTCGACAATGAAGGGTAAGTTGTCTCCCTTACTTCACATCATAGAATGTGAGTTCAGTTATGAATGATGGAAGAATGAGTTGTCTCCCCTTGTATCCTAACATGTGCGATCCGAGGTATAAGGTTTTAATTGTAAGTTAAGGTTTTAATGCTTCTCTTGTATTAAATTATAAGGTGTTTTTTACTAACAAACAGTGCAGGTTTAGTCATTTATATTACACAGGTGCATTACTTTAAATAAACAGTTAAGGTTTAATATGTCAATGTCAAAAAATATGGTAATCAATTTCAACACTTCAACCTCTCTTGGTGTGTCAGACATATCTGTGAAGACATCTTGTACATCAATTCAATAAGAGCAATGATTCTATTTGTTTTCAGTCCCCGCGAGACGATTACGCCTATGGAGGATCCCATGGTAAAGGAGGTCACCTACGTCCTACGAGAGTGGTACACCATGTGGAAATCTCTTTTTATCAAATGGGTACGGTATAGTATAGTCATATGTGATAATCCAGCTATAAATATACTGTATACCGGGAAACTTTTACCCTATGCCAATAAATTTTGCTCTGATGATATTTTGCTCTTTACATTTGCTTACTGCGTTTATTTAAAGTTACATATACTTACTAATTTTGCTCTAATTAGGGGATAACCCTACTTTATAGTGAGACTTGTGGCAAATTTTTATTAAACTGTCGCTAATATTTGTTTTACTCAATTTTAACTCAATAAAGGACAGTAAAATCATGATATACCGCTGCAAATTTCAAAATACATTCCCCATTCTACTAAAACTACCAAAAGCAACATCAAATTTTAAGATATTTTTTAGCGTTTCTTGTTTCTTTAAAATCTTGGTCACTCTACCACCAATTTGTGACGTCATGAAAAATGAATTCATAAAGTGTCAGGGTCGGTCAGGGTCAATGATGTCATAAACAATCGCCATCCATGCTTTTATATGCAAATGAGAAACTTGCAGATGGTAATTATTATCATGGTTATACCGTTGCAAATGATTTTGATTGACCCATCAGATGCCGTGTTTCATCTCAAATGAATTAGAATGATAAATTTGCCTTCATTACAGGACGAAAAAAGATGAAAACTAAAACGGTGGAAAAAAACACTTCCATATGCATTACATATTGGAATAGATGACAATTTTATTTTTTTTGAATTAAAAAGAATGGAGTACATGTATACGTAATGCTGGATTTCAATAACAGAAGGCTGTAAACATGTGTTTTCAGGGTCAGTCAAACATAACAGTACAGGAGATCAGGAATGCTATGTTACACCTGCTGTCTCTAAGATGCAAGCTCATCAGTGCTGCCCTGTCACATGAACAGGCCAAGGAACTGCGCCAGGAGATCGCCACTCTTATAGACTGGGGGGATGGGTAAGTATAGGAGCTCACCACTTTCATAGATCGGGGGATGGGTAAGTACAGGAGATCATCACTCTCAAAGACTGGGGGGATGGGTAAGTACAGGAGATCGCCACTCTCATAGACTGGGGGGATGGGTAAGTACAGGAGGTCACCACTCTCATAGACTGGGGGGATGGGTTAGTAGCAGACAGGGGAACACTCCTGGAATGGAGTGGGAGGGGATAGGTAAGTTACTCCGGAAGGGTCACCCTCATAATATTAAGGAATGAGTAAGTAACAGTTTGAGGAACGCTCCCTGAATTGAAGAGGGAGATAAGAACCAGTAGCACTTGTAATCGCGTGGGAAGGTTATGAAGTAGGGGAGGAAATCGCGTGGGAAGATTATGAAGTTGGGGAGGTAATCGTGGGGGAAGATTATGAAGTTGGGGAGGTAATCGTGTTGGGAGGTTATGAAGTAGGTGAGGTAATCGTGGGGGAAGATTATGAAGTTGGGGAGGTAATCGTGTTAGGAGGTTATGAAGTAGGTGAGGTAATCGTGGGGGAAGGTTATGAAGTTGGGGAGGTAATCATGTCGGGAGGTTATGAAGTAGGTGAGGTATTCGTGGGGGAAGATTATGAAGTAGGGGAGTTAATCGCGGGGGAAGGTTATGAAGTAGGAGAGGTATTCGCGGGGGAAGGTTATGAAGTAGGGGAGGTAATAGCGGGGGAAGGTTACGAAGTAGGGGAGGTAATCGCGGGGGAAGGTTATGAAGTAGGGGAGGTATTCGCGGGGGAAGGTTATGAAGAAGGGGAGGTAATTGGGGGGGGGGGGGAGGGTTTGGAGGAGGGGGGGAAGGGGGGGGGGGGGGGAAGGTTATGAAGTAGGGGAGAAGGGTAGGTGGCAGCAAGATGGGGACACTTAAATAGTAATATTAAAGATTCTTAACTGTCTTTTGGAAAACTAGGAATGGTCTTGGTACCACAAGTTGAAGGGAAACTGCTACTATCAAGAAAGTAATATTGTAGATTGTTTTCTATCTTTATTAAATTATCTCTATTTTAGAAAACTAGGAATGGACTTGGTACCCCGAGTTGAAGGGGAACAAGTAGATCCTGACCAATATAGTGTGACAGGGCTTTACAGACTCCACGCAAAGAGTGCTTCAAACACTACCTCGAATATGGTGAGTTGTCTGCCCCTTCATCTATTTTGTCTATCTGTTCAGTACAGACTACTTCAAATTCAAAATATTGACCTCCATCAGATGGTCATTGTGGTCGATGTTGATTCATTTAATAATTTCTTGATGATTGATTTCCTTATCAACTCATATAGCAGGACAAATAACTACTTTGCATCTTTTATGAATTATAAAATTTATTACAACTAAGTAGTTATATGTTCATCTGTCCTCGAGTTCTGTGTACAAAAAGATCCTGAGAAAATCCCATCTTTCCAATACAATGAACCATGCAAATCGAGGATATTTTTGAGAGAAAAAAAATCTAAAAATATCTATTGATATTTAATTTGTGCAACCGAAATCCAAATTTCATTTCAACTCAAAGCCCGAAGGGCCAAGTGAGCTTATGCCATGGTGCGGCGTCCGTCGTCCGTCCGTCCGTCCGTCCGTCCGTCCGTCCGGCATCAATATTTTACTTTAAACAACTTCTTCTCAATAACCAAAAGGCCTATGATGATGATATTTGGCCAGAAGCAAACTGGGATGAAGGGCTACCAAGTTTGTTAAAATAAATGACCTTCACCTATTTTCAAGGTCACAGGGGTCAAATATGTTAAAAACCTTTAAACAACTTCTTCTGAAAAACCAAAAGTCGCAGGATGATGATATTTGGCCAGTAGCATGCTGGGATGAAGGGCTACCAAGTTTGTTCAAATAAATGACCTTCACCTATTTTCAAGGTCACAGGGGTCAAATATGTTAAAAACCTTTAAACAACTTCTTCTGAAAAACCAAAAGTCGCAGGATGATGATATTTGGCCAGTAGCATGCTGGGATGAAGGGCTACCAAGTTTGTTCAAATAAATGACCTTCACCTATTTTCAAGGTCACAGGGGTCAAATATGTTAAAAACCTTTAAACAACTTCTTCTGAAAAACCAAAAGTCGCAGGATGATGATATTTGGCCAGTAGCAGGCTACCAAGTTTGTTCAAATGAATGACCTTCATCTATTTTCAAGGTCACGGGGTCAATTATCTTAAAAAAATTTAAACAACTTCTTCTGAATAACTAAGAGACCTAGGATAAGGATATTTGGCCAGTAACATGCTAGGAAGAAGGGCTGCCAAGTTTGTTCAAATTAATGACTTTTATTTATATTCAAGGTCACAGGGGTCAAATATGTTAAAAACCTTTAAACAACTTCTTCTGAAAAACCAAAAGTCGCAGGATGATGATATTTGGCCAGTAGCAGGCTACCAAGTTTGTTCAAATGAATGACCTTGACCAACTTTGAAGGTCACAGGGGTCAAATGTCTTAAAATCTTCCAACTACTTCTTCTCAATAACCAAAAGGCCCAGGGTACAGATATTAGGCCTGTAGCATGCTGGGATGAATGACCTTGATCCACTATCAAGGTCACTGGGGTCAGGTGTCTTAAAATCTTCAAACGACTTCTTCTCAATAACCAAAAGGCCAAGGGTACTGATATTGGGCCTGTAGCATGCTGGGATAAAGGGCTACCAAGTTTGTTCAAATGAATGACCTTGACCCACTTTCAACCTAATGTCCTTGTTCGACATTCAAGGACACATGCTTCATGTTTAAATCTTTTAATAGGTTCTTGTGAATCAAACACTGATATTCTGCCTGGAGTTGTATTTTAGTCCACTTTTAAGATTACAAGTGTGAGATTAATACCAGGTGAGCGATGCAGGCCCATTGGGCCTCTTGTTGTGGTATACTAGGAGATGGTTTTTTGTTTGATTTATCAGTATTTATCTCTCTTGGCGCTCCGACTGTTTTTATGAAGAGCTGTTTGAAAGTAATCAAAATGATGCTGTACATGTGTGAATCTTTGCCATGTTTGAAGCTTAGGTATGATTCTGTATATGTTGTAGCCAAAGAAGCGGAGCAGCAATGAAGCTACTGGCATGAGGGGGGAGGGGCTGTACCATCTCCTTATCAACTTCAGATCATCACAGTGTGCCATTATGGAGGAATCTGTCCTCTACCTGTCTGTGTACAATGCCAGAGAACGCAAATTTATCAGGTAGGAAACTGAGGGGAGCACAGGCCAAACGGGTAGGAAACTAAGGGGTGCACAGGCCAAATGGGTAGGAAACTAAGGGGAGGACAGGCCAAACGGGTAGAAAACTGACGGGAGGACAAGTTAAACAGGTAGGAAACTAAAGGGAGGACAAGTTAAACAGGTAGGAAACTGTGGGGAGGACAAGTTAAACGGGTAGGAAACTGAGGGGAGGACAAGTTAAACGGGTAGGAAACTGAGGGGAGGACAAGTTAAACGGGTAGGAAACTGAGGGGAGGACAAGTTAAACGGGTAGGAAACTGAGGGGAGGACAAGTTAAACGGGTAGGAAACTGAGGGGAGGACAAGTTAAACGGGTAGGAAACTGAGGGGAGGACAAGTTAAACGGGTAGGAAACTGAGGGGAGGACAAGTTAAACGGGTAGGAAACTGAGGGGAGGACAAGTTAAACGGGTAGGAAACTGAGGGGAGGACAAGTTAAACGGGTAGGAAACTGAGGGGAGGACAAGTTAAACGGGTAGGAAACTGAGGGGAGGACAAGTTAAACGGGTAGGAAACTGAGGGGAGGACAAGTTAAACGGGTAGGAAACTGAGGGGAGGACAAGTTAAACGGGTAGGAAACTGAGGGGAGGACAAGTTAAACGGGTAGGAAACTGAGGGGAGGACAAGTTAAACGGGTAGGAAACTGAGGGGAGGACAAGTTAAACGGGTAGGAAACTGAGGGGAGGACAAGTTAAACGGGTAGGAAACTGAGGGGAGGACAAGTTAAACGGGTAGGAAACTGAGGGGAGGACAAGTTAAACGGGTAGGAAACTGAGGGGAGGACAAGTTAAACGGGTAGGAAACTGAGGGGAGGACAAGTTAAACGGGTAGGAAACTGAGGGGAGGACAAGTTAAACGGGTAGGAAACTAAGGGGAGGACAAGTTAAACGGGTAGGAAACTAAGGGGAGGACAAGTTAAACGGGTAGGAAACTGAGGGGAGCACAAGTTAAACGGGTAGGAAACTGAGGGGAGCACAAGTTAAACGGGTAGGAAACTGAGGGGAGGACAAGTTAAACGGGTAGGAAACTGAGGGGAGGACAAGTTAAACGGGTAGGAAACTGAGGGGAGGACAAGTTAAACGGGTAGGAAACTGAGGGGAGGACAAGTTAAACGGGTAGGAAACTGAGGGGAGGACAAGTTAAACGGGTAGGAAACTGAGGGGAGGACAAGTTAAACGGGTAGGAAACTGAGGGGAGGACAAGTTAAACGGGTAGGAAACTGAGGGGAGGACAAGTTAAAAGGGTAGGAAACTGAGGGGAGGACAAGTTAAACAGGTAGGAAACTAAGGGGAGGACAAGTTAAACGGGTAGGAAACTGAGGGGAGGACAAGTTAAATGGGTAGGAAACTAAGGGGAGGACAAGTTAAACGGGTAGGAAACTAAGGGGAGGACAAGTTAAACGGGTAGGAAACTGAGGGGAGCACAAGTTAAAAGGGTAGGAAACTGAGGGGAGCACAAGTTAAAAGGATAGGAAACTGAGGGGAGATCAGGCCAAACGGGTAGGAAACTGAGGGGAGCACAGGCCAAATGGGTAGGAAACTGAGGGGAGGACAAGTTAAACGGGTAGGAAACTGAGGGGGAGGACAAGTTAAACGGGTAGGAAACTAAGGGGAAGACAGGCCAAACGGGTAGGAAACTAAGGGGAGGACAGGCCAAACAGGTAGGAAACTGAGGGAAGCACAGGCCAAATGGGTAGGAAACTGAGGGGAGGACAGGCCAAACAGGTAGGAAACTGAGGGGGAGGACAAGTTAAACGGGTAGGAAACTAAGGGGAGGACAGGCCAAACGGGTAGGAAACTAAGGGGAGCACAGGCCAAACAGGTAGGGAACTGAGGGAAGCACAGGCCAAATGGGTAGGAAACTGAGGGGAGGACAGGCCAAACAGGTAGGGAACTGAGGGAAGCACAGGCCAAATGGGTATGAAACTGAGGGGAGGACAGGCCAAACGGGAAGGAAACTAAGGGGAGCACAGGCCAAACAGGTAGGGAACTGAGGGAAGCCCAGGCCAAATGGGTAGGAAACGGAGGGGAGGACAGGCCAAACGGGGAGGAAACTAAGGGGAGGACAGGCCAAACAGGTAGGGAACTGAGGGAAGCCCAGGCCAAATGGGTAGGAAACGGAGGGGAGGACAAGTTAAACGGGTAGGAAACTCAGGGGAGCACAAGTTAAAAGGGTAGGAAACTGAGGGGAGGACAAGTTAAAAGGGTAGGAAACTGAGGGGAGCACAAGTTAAAAGGATAGGAAACTGAGGGGAGATCAGGCCAAACGGGTAGGAAACTGAGGGGAGCACAGGCCAAATGGGTAAGAAACTGAGGGGAGGACAAGTAAAATGGGTAAGAAACTGAGGGGAGCAGAAGTTAAACGGGAAGAAAACTCAGGGGAGCACAAGGTTTTTAAATTTAGAGTGTATGAGTTTGTCTGACAGAAAACCGGAAAATGCATATCAGGTAGAAAAGTTTGGAACACAAGTTTATCAGAAATGTAACTGGGAAATGGAAGTTTATCAGATAATAAGGATTTGGTTAGTTAGTTCCTTAGTCTGGAAACTACATGTATGGTGGTTGCATGTATCAGGATGAAAATCATGAAGTTTTGCTAAGAGGAATCGGAAGAAGGCAAACTTATCAGGAGATACCAGAAAAGATAGTAGATTTAGGAGAGAGAGATTGGGAAGAATAAAAAAGGAGAAATATTTATGAATTGAACATGTAAAAATTGTTAATAGCAACACCTTCAAATCTATACCATATTTATTCTTAAAATAAATTAAATCTAAAATTGAAATATTTTATTTACAGTGAACAGTTTGAAGTGTGTGTGAACAAGAACGGTTTGGCTCAGGACACAGACAAACTTGATAATGGATACTACGGTCTGTTTACAGTAAGTAGATGGCGGGACCTTCACTTCCAAGGTCATAATCATACATAAACATGGCTTCTGAAATATGTTTTTAAAAGGTCCCAATACCATTCTACTCTTTAAGTCCTGCAGGGATTACATTGATTTTATACATCATTAATATTTCAATGCTCCAGTTTTGATACTAAAATTAATTTAAAAGATTCATATCAATTTGTGTAGTTTTGTGAATGACCTTAGTGTTTTCTGTTGACTAGTACTGTATTTACTTTTGTTAAGAAAAGGTTTGATGATGAAATAATACTTTTTACTGTTAAATTGTTCATTTATCAATTTGTTTAAATTTTATTACAGGACTTATCTTCAGAAGATCTGAACAAAACATTGTTTATAGTCATCAAAATATACAGATGTGGTAAGTACAGCACAATGTTACCTGTAAAGTAACCTGACTGTGTGGTTACAGCACAACATTACCTGTAAAGTAACATGACTGAGTGGTTACAGCAAAACATTACCTGTTAAGTAACCTGACTGTGGGGTTACAGCACAACATTACATGTAAAGTAACCTGAGGGTGTGGTTACAGCACAACATTACCTGTAAAGTAACCTGAGCGTGTGGTTACAGCACAACCTTACCTGCAAAGTAACCTGACTGAGTGGTTACAGCACAACATGACCTGTTAAGTAACCTGACTGTGTGGGTACAGCACAACATTACCTGCAAAGTAACCTGACTGAGTGGTTACAGCAAAACATTACCTGTTAAGTAACCTGAGTGTGTGATTACAGCACAACATTACCTGCAAAGTAACCTGACTGAGTGGTTACAGCACAACATTACCTGTTAAGTAACCTGACTGTGTGGGTACAGCACAACATTACCTGTAAAGTAACCTGGATGTGTGGTTACAGCACAACATTACCTGTAAAGTAACCTGACTGTGGTTACAGCACAACATTACCTGTAAAGTAACTTGACTGTGTGGTTACAGCACAACATTACAGGTAAAGTAACCTGACTGAGTGGTTACAGCACAACATTATCTGTAAAGTAACCTGACTGTGTGGTTACAGCATACCATTACCTGTAAAGTAACCTGACTGTTTGGTTGCAGCACAACATTACCTGTAAAGTAACCTGACTGTGTGGTTACAGCACAACATTACCTGTTAAGTAACCTGACTGTGTGATTACAGCACACCATTACATGTAAAGTAACCTGACTGTGTGGTTACAGCACAACATTACCTGTAAATTAACCTGACTGTGTGTAGTAAGGTGAGATGCCACTAAGTATACTGAATTGTGGACCCCCCAGACACAATATATATATATCACTTAATATAATCAATATTTTTATAGGCAATAGTTTAAAGCCAGTAAAACACATTGAGTCATTAGTATGATTGAAAGATCCCAAGAGTTTGCGATCAGAAACGTTCATATGTAGTTAGTTGTTGCAGTCATTGATTTAAAGTTATATTTTTGGTTGGTAGGTTAATCCAAGGGCTGTTCACATACACGAAACTACAGCAAATTATGTTTTCTCTATAGTCCACACTACACTGATAGGCTTATAGGGTCATGGTGGGAAGTTTATTGTGCCAATCAGATGAAGTTGCAGTGGTTCTCAGTTTGCTGGTGGGGTTTAGTTGTTGATACATAAAAAATATCTGTCCGTGTAAACCACTGACCATTGAACCATTATTTTGTCATTTAACCCTTTCACCACTGTAGACCATAATGGACTCATCCATATCAATGCATGGCAGAGTCTACTGAAGTTACATAGGGGTGAAAGGGTTAAAACAATGATTTTCCATCTAGTGATAAATGAAATACTGTTTCTTTATCTTTAACTTCATTTTGGATTATTCCAGCATATTAAGTTTTGAATACTTAAAGTAACAATATTTGAAGTATGAGTCGGAGTAATCTGATACTATGGTCTTAATTCACTTTCTGCCTCTTGATACATTGAGCATCTGCAATATCACAAACCAACTGGTATATCATACATGATTGTTCGACATGAATTTTGCTGATATTGGCTCAGATTGTTCAAATTAACATTTATATTAGCAACTACTATTTTGTATAATATAACTGGGTTAAACAGTATTTATTTTTAACTGACAAGAGGTTTACCAGTATTGAGGATGAATCTTTTCTCTCCACAGGTAAGATGTTGGCTACAACACAACAGAAGGGCGCGGGACGCACATACAGACGTCCATTTGGAGTAGGAAGTAGGCACACCTTTCTGTAAAAGTGAAAAAAACCGATTGCAGAGATTTTCTCATTTTCACTCTACAAACTATTATGAGGAAACAAATGTTCACATTGACAATGCTGTTTGTCAAGCTGTTGATGCATTCCTATTTTTGCTTTAATTGTGTTAGCCGGTAGCAAAATCAGTGAACATTTGCACTTAATATATACCGTTATTATTTAGTATTATGTCTGTCAAAGATATTGCAGATTAAATAATACTGCACAGAATGTATATGAAAATAGTGAATGATAGAAATATACTGTAAGTTGTTGTGTATTTTAGTACAAGTAATGCTGACCATTTTACAGAATATAAACAAAACAGTATGTTACAGAAACACACTGTGTTGTTGATGAACTTTTTTTGCATATACAGCCATTTTATATTCCAGTTTTAAAGGTTGAGGAGGTGAGACACATGTCCTCGACAGAGAAGGAATACGAAACTATGATGAAGGTCACAAGGTAAAATTTCTCCTGTATCAAACGCTATCCTTTTAAAACTATACAACATATACTAAGTTAAACCTGTCTTAAGTCAGCTTTGACTTCATACCAGACTATAGTGTTCCCTATATAACAAAAACTGATTTTCATGAAACTTTTGCCTTATTATACCTTCAACAATTATAAATGTATATTTTTCCAAAGTCAAGTTCAATTTTAGTAAAATTAGATTTGTTTATACATGTACTTGTTAAAGATTGCCAGTATCAAGTGCTACAATGTTTGTAAACCTGAGTGACCTTGACCAATATTTGAGGTCACAAGTCGAATTTGTTAAAACACTTGAACAACTTCTTCTTAAGAATCATATGGCCTAGTGTCATATTATGGGGCTAGTAGCTTGCATGTATGGAGCGTCACAGAGTATCTGAAAATAACCATTTGACCCATAACCAAGGTCGCAGGGATCAGATTTGTTAAAATGCTCAAACAACTTCTTCTAAAGAACCAAAATGCCTGAAGCTATGATATTTAGACTGCAGCTTGACGAAATGTAATCGTAGGAAGTTTGTGAAAGAAAGGCAACTTTAAAACACATGAAAACCTACAGGCCCCTTGGGCTTCTTGTATTTCTGTGTACTGATTATATCAAAACTCATTTTTTTTCTTTAAATCTAACCCAGTTGTGTGGACAGTGAGAACTCCTTCCCTGACCAACACGAGAACCTGATCAAGAAGGCCCTTCAGGAGAAGCAGGGCAACAGACTAGGGGCTAGCTTTAAAGAGGACAGGCTCAATCTAGGTAACACAGTATATTTCCCATCTCAACCCATGTGTTTATGTCACAGATCCATGAAATGAAAACTTCTAAAGACTTGCTTTCATAATATTCATATTACTTAATATCCTATATATATGTATTACATATTAAATTCATATATAACAGTATTATTACTCCATATGTCATACATGAGGTCCTTTCAAATTAAATGGAGTCATTTTGCAAAGTTTAAATGGAAATATTGAGAGAGAAAAAAGAAAAAAAAAGTGGGGTCTTTTTGAAATTTTATTCTTCAAACTCCCTATGAGAAATGTAAACATAAATCCTGCATGATATTATTTGTACTTAGTTATATATAACAGAGGAATTGTCTTGTGAGAAGCTATATATATATATGGAATTCCAGTCAGCGCCTTTGTGATAGAGAAAACATACAAACTGGTACAGAACAAACCCACATTGAGGTACTATCTGCACTTAGATATATAGGCAGTTTGTAGCATTCGTTATTACCTGTGTTTAGGACTAATCTAGACCTTTTATTTTTCATTTTCTACAGGTGTTACATTTTCATTCAAAATGTTCCAAGGTGACCTACAGGCAATAAAAACAGAGGAGGCCATCTTGTTTTCCAAAGGAGTGACTCTGATACCCAAACTCAGCTTTACCGATCTCATAATAAACCCAGGTAATGGAAATAAGTCAGCTTTACCGATCTCATAATAAACCCAGGTAATGGAAATAAGACAGCTTTACCGATCTCATAATAAACCCAGGTAATGAAAATAAGACCGGTAGAATTCAACAAGATACCTTTACCAGTTTGTTGCCATGTAAAGTATTTAAATTTCTGGTTAAGTTAACTATGTCTCTTTCACAATTTAATGAATGAACGAATGAATTCAAATATGTTTGAAATAACACTGGCTTATGGTAATGGGAAGATTTGCTAATCTTGCTTAAAATTTAGAAAATTTATTTCTACTTTTCCTTGAAAATAAATTTATGATATGTTTGTTCTATTAAAAAAAAGTGTGTGTACAATTTTATTGGTATGTGTGTACTGATAGAACAGTTTGTGTACAATGTCATCATTATGAGTGTACTGATAGAACAGTTTGTGTTTAGTGTCATTGTTATGTGTGCATTGATAGAAAGTTTGTATGGTGTCATTGTTTTGTGTGTACTGATAGAATAGTTTGTGTACAATATCATCATTATGTGTGTACTGATAGAACAGTTTATTTACAAGTTGTAACTAGTTAACAGTGTGTTGCACTGTAGTAAGATATAACTATGTTTTACATTAGCTCTCTATGTGGAGTCAGCTGCCAATGGTATGTGTAGATCCCAGTTATCTCCCCTTTTATGTGTCTTTTATTTGTTCTGTTGTCACTGATACAAAGTTATGGTGTTGTTATTCGTCGTCCATGTTTGATGTCAGCTCCATTTTCAGTATTCTGTTAATTCAATGCCAGGAAACTTTGTCACCTGCCTTTATAGTGATGGCAATCTAAACATTTAATGTTTGCAAAACTTGACTGGTCTCCTCTCTTTTTGAAAAATCTTCGGTGTAAAATATGAGCCAAAAGAAAAATTTCAAGTCAAATGTAATCCCTCATTCAATCAAAGTTGTTACAGTATATAGTAAAACATTAATAAATGTCTAGAAAATCTTATTTGTTAACATATTTTAACATTTAAATGGTACGTCAAATGCACCAATTAAGCCTCGGAAGAAAATTTAAACAATGCTAATTATTTATGGATTGGCAGATTACATCAAGCAACCCACAAATGATAACTGGATAATTCGTTGTTAGAAATAGCTGGAACAACAATCCATGCCTCTGATTGGCTAACCACCTTCTAAATTTAGTACAGATCATGTTTAATCGATCAACATCGCGGGACAGAGATTTCATCAGACCTCAATTTCATTATCGACAACATAAGTATAAATACAGATCTTCTTGCATGACTTTTGATTTGAAACATCTGATTGCCACAATTAACAGCCTGAATATACAGTAAATGTGTGTCAGAATGAAAATATATTTTCAGGGGAAGAACATCAGTCTAGAACACATGATGTCTATTTTCAAACTGTGTAGGAGCTTATAAATATAGGAGTATCTTTTTATTATCAGTATGAGCAGTGTCGTGATTTCGGTGTGTGCTATTGCACACCGTCACAACATGTAGTTGGGTACTGCTCTCAGGTCCCAAAATCTATGAGAATAGGCGGCGGAAAATCACTCATGTGTGTACAAGTTGAAGTCAGGATGTAAAGAGACCGCGCCAATACGTCACAGCCAGGTTGTCACATAGCTCGACGAGATCTCGTGTCGGCGCGGTCCAAGGGAGATAACTCTCCTGAAATCCACCACAGCAGTTTAATAAAAAAGAAGTAAATAAATACAAAAACATCACATGATATTTCAATATTGTAACTGGTTTTTGTGTGTGTAAGTGTACCTATTTGCCTAGTTGTGCAGACATGTCCAGTTCATTTTTAGTCAGAGGAGGTCCACTAGTTCAAGTTGACTCCAATCAGCAATATCACAACCTGATGTTTTCAGAGCCATTACTTTTTCTTCGATTATTATAATACTAATACCATACTTTTATAAGGATGATACATACCTATACCGTAATTTTCCGCATATAGTGTGCACTTTTTAGGGGAAAATAAAATATTTTCCCAACAAAATGAAATATCTGGGCGAATGTGTTTACTTAGTTTACCATCATTAGTGACCTACCTGGTTGGCTCTTTAAGTTCAGCTTGACATCTAAAAAAAAAAAAAATCACCCAAAAGTACCTGATCATTATATACACGAGTGTGCACAATATGTGAATATTTATGGTATATAACTGACCAGGTTTTGTACAGTATTTATACAATATTTTTGTCAGTTAATCTGTACCATTGCTGAAGTGTTCTTGTTTATATAATACAAACATTTTGACATTCTGTTGATAAATTTAGTCAACCTTACCGTTTTGTTGTAATTTTTTGTCCTTTCCCTTTTCCTTTCTAACAGATGTTTTGATTGGTTGATGTGTGTAGCTTTTGACCATTGGTTGATATCTGACTGTGATAGTGCTGTACACATTTGTTTCTCAAACATAGCTCTTTGTCTTTTATCTTGCAATAGCTTTATCAAATATTTCAGTATAAACACCCTTAATCTACAGAGTATTGTAATGAGGTTATAGTGAATTGGAATCTGCTCGCTTTGTTCACAAGCCATACATTTTTATCTCCGTACTAGCTTTACTCATTGTCATTGTTCAATGTCTCCTCCCCAACCCAAGTAAAACAGGATACAGGTCCATGTTGTTATTCTCCTCCCCAACCCAAGTAAAACAGGATACAGGTCCATGTTGTTAATTCTCCTCCCCAACCCAAGTAAAACAGGATACAGGTCCATGTTGTTAATTCTCCTCCCCAACCCAAGTAAAACAGGATACAGGTCCATGTTGTTAATTCTCCTCCCCAACCCAAGTAAAACAGGATACAGGTCCATGTTGTTAATTCTCCTCCCCAACCCAAGTAAAACAGGATACAGGTCCATGTTGTTAATTCTCCTCCCCAACCCAAGTAAAACAGGATACAGGTCCATGTTGTTAATGACGAAAAATCAGTTTTGTCCAAGTCAAATTCAGGAAACTGTTTTCAAATATAGTGAAATATATAAATGATAAAATTAATGACCCTGCATTGATATGGATGAGTCCATTATGGTCTACAGCGGTGAAAGGGTTAATGATGTTTTTGATCAAAGTTTTTAGTTTTTGTTTTCCTTATCTTTGTTTTGTTTTTATATTGAAAAAAAAATGATATATATATAATATTTTGTGAATATGATTATTTCTAATAAAAGTTTGATACAACAGGTCAAAATCGACCCATCCGGGACCTAGTATTGCTGCAATGTTGTTCTTTAAGAAGTACTAAAACAGTTCTGTGTATTAGAAAGTGTGATAAAACTATTTAACGATGATTGATAAATGTAGCTTTTCTGTCGTAACATCATGATACCTCTCAATCTTTATGAACATGTTAATGAGAATTCTGTCCATATTGGTTGTTTTTTGTATTCATGACCGTGTAACAAAAGTTTACCTGTCCGTACCTGTTGGTGAAGACCTAATTACAAGACATTGTTTTGTCTCTATATATTTATGACAACCTCATGAGATTTTTTCCTATTGTCCAGGTCAAATGAGAAACGATATCTACCTGACCTTGGTCAGTGGGGAGTATGAACGCGGCAAGAAAAAATCGGAGAAGAATGTAGAAATTGTTGTGACTGCCTTTGACTCGAAGGGAGTTGAAATCAAGGTACGTGTAGCTCCTACTTACAAAACACAACATACCAGAAGAAATCACTGTTCCTATGGGGGGGATAATTTTTATTTTATTTTAAAAAGTCTCCATGATTTGTTTCACATACACGAGAGGATATTTATTTATTTTTCATATTTTTATTGACTGTAATTTATTCCTTTGAAACAATCGTGTATCTGTTGAAGTTCGTTTTCGATCTACCTTATACATAGTCCGAATTATTCTGACGTTTTATCGACTTTTTTCATATCGGTCTGTCGTCGATTAACGTCAGAACTCCGGCCCTCTATAATATGCGGGAAATATGCGACCCGCGCCCGGAGCGCACTTCAAACTGATATTTTAGAAACAAATCGTCACTTTCACACACATGTCGCACATGGATCGAAAGATCTATTCTTTATGCACAAGATGAACATACATAACATGCCTCAAACAACCAATACAATCACTAAAAACATATTTTTTCAAACTTACTCTGTTTTACTCTAGTTTTTTGATAGCCCCGCCTTCTAATGCCACGTGACTAAAATCTCGCCGGCCTACGTCATAACGTTGGGAAATACCTTCGGTAACGCGAGATCTCGTCAAGTCATGTGACATTTCTCATGGCCTAATTTCCATAAAAAACATGGGTTGGTATAGAAAACGTTGGAAAATACTTTTCGTAATGATCTTTGAAACATGTTATTGATACCACCTAGTGCATAAAGAATAGATCTTTCGATCCATGTGCGACATGTGTGTGAAAGTGATGATTTGTTTCTAAAATATCAGTTTGAAGTGCGCTCCGGGCGCGCTTCGCATATTTCCCGCATATTATAGAGGGCCGGAGTTCTGACGTTTATCGACGACAGACCGATATGAAAAAAGTCGATAAAACGTCAGAATAATTCGGACTACCTTATACACAGCAGACACACAATACTATTACTGTACTTGTGTGAACAAAAACCTGACTATTCTACACTGATTTGTTCCAGAACTGCATGAGCTTCGGATGTGGAGAGAAACCTCAAACCAATTTTTACTCGACAATCTATTACCATGACAACAGTCCACAGTGGAATGAAACAGTGCGGGTAAGAACAAATACCTCAATTTTGAAATTACATTACAAGGCATTACATAATAACAACTCACCAATTCATTGTAACTCACTGGTAGGATTTGACTATTGGTCTTGTGGTTTAGAAGACACATGTTCGGCTAATATGAGACTTAACTCTGTGTTATTAATGTGTACACTTATGGTACAATTATCTCCCGAATAATTCCTGGTAGATTTACTGTGAAGGTGTGAGAAGGAGAGGCTGCTGTGTTACAGCTACTTAGTGATATTGCTGAAGTTACTTACTGTGAAATCAGATATTTCATTGGGCGCAAATTACTGGGTTTCTTGGCAAAACACCCTAATGTGGGTACATGAATTTGGGGATTACGAGTACCCACTAAAACAGAGAATTGCTTTATATAAAACTTGTAATTACTTTGTGTACCTATTACTTTGTGGTTAAAGATTACTAACAAAATCAACGAAATTAAAACATCCAACGAAAATTACTGTTTTTACAGTAGTAGAATATGCTGACCCTTACACAAGTACACTTTTTAATTTAATTTTCAAAAATGTCATGTTATGGATAACAAACAGCCACTTGACTTACATATTTCTTTTGGTTTCAGTTATCTGTACCGATGGAAATGCTGCCAAAGTCTCGAATTAGATTTGATATTTATCATTGTTCAAGTAAGTAGTATTAGTACTGATCGTATCAGACTGATGGCAACTGTTTAGCTGTAACCCATTCACCCCTAAAGTCACATTTGAACCTTACCAAATCAAAGACTGGGTCAGGCCAAGTCCAATATGTAGGAGTGAATGAGTTATTTAGTAAACAACTTAACAGAAAAGGCTAACATTAGGATTGTATATTCAAAATATATCAGGGCTTGGTTGTTATGGTCACTAACTTAACAAGTCGCTAATTGAAGTTTTCGAAAGGTGATTTCTGCAAATTTCTGCAAATTCAAAAATATTTTGATGTTTCCGTCTTCAGACGACAATTTTTCTGAATTCCTCTACACATAATTTAAGTTCAAATTTTATAACTTTGTTAACACAATGTATAACAGATTTAGTTTTTTCATTACCTTGATGATTAGCTAACCAGGCTTTGATCAACTTGGCCGTAATTTAAAACAAATTCCAGAGAAAAATAACAAAGCAGTGATATTTATGAAATACCTCAATGTAGAAAAACCTAGTAGTTCTGATCATGTTGTTTCAACAATCGTTTTGAAAGCCATGCTAGACAAATCACGTTACAGAAAGGGATAAGGCTTTATTATGCTGAAAAAAACAACAACAACTGAACACTTAAATGAAAATTAATGTATTTTTCATTTGTTTCAGCTAGAGGAAAAGAAAACAAGAAATTAGTAGGATTTGCTTTCTTATGTGTAACTGATGACAAGGATATTGTTATACAGGATGGGTCACATGACCTGTGTATATTCCAGGTATGCAGTTAAATTTAGTCGTCGTTTGTACTAGATGAAAGTTTAAATAAGCCTATTGTAATAGCTGCCATGGTAACCAGTTAATATTTGCATAAATTAATGAAATTTGAATATTCAGTACATTTTGACAGGTTTTTGCCTAGTTTTTCTCTTAGTTACCATAGAGCGCACTCTTGAACAAACTTTATATTTCTCCTAAAGATGTATTACAGGTGCCTACACATTATCCTTTGATTTTGAGTTTGTTCAAGCATGCGCTCTACAGTTTCCAGGAGAAAAACTATTCAAAATATGACAAAATTCACTGAATATTCAATTTGTTCTAATTTATGCAATTTTGAACTTGTTACCATGGCAACAATAATTAGAAATACAAATAAATATTTTCATGACAGTGTTTGGGAAGATTTTGGAATAAAAGAAACAGTCATTTTAAAGTTCTTTTAAAGGTTTTGAATTTTGATGCATTTGGGGGCCAAAAAAGGCCCTAACCATACATAGTCCTTAGTCATTTGTACTAGGTACAAGGTTAAATTAGTCATTTATACTCTGTATACTAGATTCAAGGTTAAATTTGAAGAATATACCAGGTACAAGGTTAAATTAGACATTTATTGGAGCAATGTATTTGTCCACAGTGTGAGGAAATAAGTAAGGTGGTATTCAAGAAGTATTGTGGACTACCATTTTTATATGACGACATGGGAGATGTCAGAATGTCTGTGTTCCCCAGCAATACGCCCTACAAGAGAAGTGCCAGGGAGAAACTGACTGTGAAAACTCAGCTGTGCTCTACCAAATATACTCAAACAAGTAAGTTTACTGTCAAATATACTCAAACAAGTAAGTTTACTGTCAAATATACTCAAACAAATGAGTTTACTGTCAAATATACTCAAACAAGTGAGTTTACTGTCAAATATACCCAAACAAATAAGTTTACTGTCAAATATACTCAAACAAATGAGTTTATACTGTCAAATATACCCAAACAAATGAGTTCATTATCAAATTTACTCAAACAAATGAGTTTACTATCAAATATACCCAAACAAATGAGTTTACTATCAAATATACTCAAACAAGTGAGTTATAAACCTAATTTACTCAAACAAGTGAGCTCACACCAAGTAAACAAAAAACCAGTGAGTTTTGAGCTAACTAAACTTAAATAATAAAGTTCACTGTAAAATATACTCTAATGAGTGACTTCACTACAAAATATACCCAAACAAGTGAGTTTCCTCCCAAATATATTATAAACTAGTGAGTGAGTTTATTACCAAATAAACTTAAATAAACAAATACACTTTTAGACATACTCAAGCAAGTGAGTTCACTTCCAATTAACTGAAACAAGTGAGCTGACTAGCAACATAATCAAATTAACTTTAAACAGGTCAGTATCCAGGTGTCAGTGCTATTTATACCAAATACATGTAAGTGAGTTGAAAATAAAATATACTGATTACCAGTAAACAACTGAGTAAGTATATTGTCAAATAACTCAAGCAATTGAGTAAGTGATCGAGTTGATTGTCAAATAACTCAAGCAAGTGAGCAAATGAATGAGTTAATTGCCAAATAATTCAAGCAAGTGAGCAAATGAATGAGTTTATTGTCAAATAGCTCAAGCAAGTGAACAACTGAGTGAGCTTGTTGTCAAATAGCTCAAACAGTTGAGTAAGTGAGTAAATTTTCTGTCAAATATTTCACAGTCAGTTAACAACGGATTAAATAGGGGAGTTTACACTCAAACAATGAGCTAACAACCAAAAATGCTGAAACAATTAACGGTCAACAAGTTGAATATTTACCAAATAAACAAGTGACTTTTATAGCTTTTATGTCTGACCTTAGGTGACCTTTTGGGCCTACTGCAGTGGAAACTTCCCGCGAATCAGCAACGCCTGCCAGCAATTCTGGATCAGTTAAGTAAGATGGAGGGCGTCGAAATCATGAAAGTAAGTCAGACTCCACATACACATTTTTACTGGGTAAATATTATGATTAAAGTGGTCATGTTTGACATTAGCTCAGCTCTGAGATTATAGCAGGAACAAAAATATAAATCTAAAAAAATCCAGCAAATACATGCGCCTAAGAAGCTGATGGTATAATAGATAAAAGGGGATCACATAGCAGACAAATAACATTTGTTTTTTGGTTCAGTACATCCATTATTTACACAAATAAAAAATTGAAATGGGCTACGTTTTGCGGATTTGTGTTTGTAAAATAGAAATTAAATAGACTTTTGTTGCAGCTGATCATAATTTAGTAAAATGTCAGATGTTTTCACTAGATCAATTCAACCATGCCAAATAAAATAAAAAGATAGAAGCATTCAAAAAGTTGAAGCTAAACAGTATCAGATAAATGTGTTTTAATTGTTTATGAATTAAATTCAGTCATTATCAGTCAACCTTGATGTATAACGTGCTTTAGAGAATGTCCTTGACACTGTCACCATATACAGTTTTGTTATAACTGACCTTGACCTTGACCTTCAGTTCCTGCCAGATGTCCTTGACTCGCTCTTTGCCATCATGACAGACGGGTGTGATAATGAAAACACCAACACTTCCAAGGTTTTCCAAGTACTGGTAAGATACTGTGTTCCTTTACAGATGGGAATTTGGAAAATATAAATAATGAATAAATACATTTGTGCTCACATGGAACATACAAATTGCCCATGATCCTATTAAATAACTTCTTAAGAAGAGTGAGATCCAGTAGTTTGCTGCATCTAATGGCTTTTAATTTTTTGCTCACCTGGTCCAAAGGGGCGTGGCTCAATAGAGGATAATGAGGTAAATGTTTCTACACAGCTTCATGGGGGCAGAAAGAAGAGACCTAATGAGGGATGACTGTTGCTGAGAGAGACAGAGCCAATATTTGGAAATAAATGAAGTATTATATTTAATCAATCTGATTAAAGTCATCTGTAACATGGCTCCGCCTGAACGTATTACGATGTTAATGGAGCCATGTAACACATGATTTTAATCAGATTGTATATTTAATAAGAATATTTTCCCAAGGTTGCCTAATTATCGTGGTGAACAATACAGGCCCGTTTGTCCTCTTGTTTGTAAATGAGTGATATTGAATTACTTTCAGTGTTACATGGGTTAAATGTGTTGACAACTTATAATGACAAGTCTGGTTGCCAATTGTTTAGTTTACACCATTTCTCACCCACAGGTGTATGTACTGAACCTACTAAAGGACAGTCGGTTTGTCACCTTCCTACCTGTATTAGAGAACTACCTGTCCGACCAATTCTCATCACCTGAAGTTCACAGGTAAGGTATCATATTCATCTCTTCTGTCTTATTTGCTTTTGAAAATGGCCCATAATGTTTTTTTTGGGGGGGCAAAAAAAACATTTTGACCAAGAAAGTGTTTCAACATTAAAATGTCCATTACCTCGTACTAATAGAAACATGTATATGTGAATACTTGGCATCAGACTTTACATACAGTTGACACTGTTGAGATGTTTGTACACACTGTCAATATATCAATATATCTACAGATTATCTGTGTCAATTACTTGATTGTGATTTACATTTCATTTGAAAATGAATTCCACTCAAAGAAACGTGGAAAATTTCTGTTACAAAGGTCTGTTCAGACTTAATCATTGATAACATGTTTGAAATGTACACAATTCAAGGCTTTGATGAATCACTAGAACCAATGTTAATTACAAAAAGCTTTAACAGAAATATGACAGGAAAGTAGCATAAAATGTGAAGGGAGATAACTCTAAACAAATCACATGTGTTATGTGTAAGATGGCACATTTATCCTTGAAATAAGATCATGATTTGAGTTCCTGATGACCTGTCAGTTTTCGGGGTTTACAGAGACATGTTGAAGTGCTTTGCTGAAGGGATACATTCTTACTGTGATGGTGGATTGTTCACAGTGTCCCTTTGTCTAAAGGTAAATGTTTCCTCTTGTCCAGTTTCCACATTTAAAAGTATAATAATCATGCATGCTAGCCAATTTTTTTGAAATTTCGACTTGGGGGGGGGGGGGATGGCAGGATTCTGCATGCTGAAAATTCAATGCATAAATAAAATGTGTGCGTATAGCCCCTTGATAATAACACTTTAGAATGGTGTCTTTACAGTTATTCTTATTGATAAAATCTTTAATGAGATAACTGGTTGAAAAGGTTCAATTTTAGGGTCCAAAATAGTCAGAATTGGCAAGTATCATGTTCATTTTTTTAAAATAAAATAAACATTTTTTGTAAGATTAAAATATATATTATGAATAGAAGCCTTAAAATTGACATGAAATGTTTTCATAAAGATAGCTGGAGTCATTGCTCTACGTTGTATGATGTTAAAGTCTGTTTGTCTGCACAGGTTCTAGAACAGATACTGCGGTTTGTTGTACGATCCAGAGAACTACAACTCAGGTATATATCTACTTCATTTGACCAGTCAGTCAACTATTGAAACCTTTTTGATAAAAGTGTAAAACAGCAAACTCGGACTTACAAATAAATGATACCAAGTTCTTGTTAAACCAGTTAATATTGATTGGAAAAAAATAAAAAAAATAACAGTATTTGAATGTTTGACAAACATTAGGATACTTCACAAAAAAACAACATAAATCTTCATTAATGTTCAACAAATCCTCCTCTGATGATTTAAAAATGGAAATACTAACCAATCAAGTTTGTAAATAGTATTACCGTATTTATCCTGCGATAAGCCCAGGGGGGCTAACACAACAATATGTAGGGGTGGGCTTCTACTCAATTGTATTTTTAAATGGGTCGGCTTACTACCAATCATGGGATTATTGCCAGATAATGTATGGTGTATATGTGAAACAAAGTATACAAGTTTGTGTAATATGTAGATGAGACAAAATCCCATGTAATGGGCTATTTACGTGGGCTTTAATTGTTTCGCGAATTTGACCCAAAATTAGAAAATTAAATTTACATGGATGATATTTCCGCGATAACGTTATTGACCTGAGAAATCATGATAATATCATCCCTGCCGAAATCTCCTGCTTTATGGTAATCGATGTACATGGCTTTATTCAATATGCATGTGATACAGTATTAATACTTATGTAGCGTTTTACTGACTGGAGAAACAAATGGAATTACCAGATTCTAGGGAAAGGAGTAATCAAGATTATTATTATGCTTGATGATAGACCATGATTTCAGCATACTCTGACATATTTGAGATATGATGTGTTTGTTGATTAGCCTTGGCGGTGGGGATGAGATGGAATTCAAGAGAAATCTCCAGGACTTGTTCGCTAAGATGGGGGAGCTGGTATCCCGTAACAACGACCGGACTAAAATATCCCAGGTCAGCCAGAACCAGATCTAAATTCAGCAGCCTTGAATCAGTCTCATTGTGACCTAAATTCAGCAGCCTTGAATCAGTCTCATTGTGACCTAAATTCAGCAGCCTTGAATCAGTCTCATTGTGACCTAAATTCAGCAGCCTTGAATCAGTCTCATTGTGACCTAAATTCAGCAGCCTTGAATCAGTCTCATTGTGACCTAAATTCAGCAGCCTTGAATCAGTCTCATTGTGACCTAAATTCAGCAGCCTTGAATCAGTCTCATTGTGATCTAAATTCAGCAGCCTTGAATCAGTCTCATTGTGACCTAAATTCAGCAGCCTTGAATCAGTCTCATTGTGACCTAAATTCAGCAGCCTTGAATCAGTCTCATTGTGACCTAAATTCAGCAGCCTTGAATCAGTCTCATTGTGACCTAAATTCAGCAGCCTTGAATCAGTCTCATTGTGACCTAAATTCAGCAGCCTTGAATCAGTCTCATTGTGACCTAAATTCAGCAGCCTTGAATCAGTCTCATTGTGACCTAAATTCAGCAGCCTTGAATCAGTCTCATTGTGACCTAAATTCAGCAGCCTTGAATCAGTCTCATTGTGATCTAAATTCAGCAGCCTTGAATCAGTCTCATTGTGACCTAAATTCAGCAGCCTTGAATCAGTCTCATTGTGACCTAAATTCAGCAGCCTTGAATCAGTCTCATTGTGACCTAAATTCAGCAGCCTTGAATCAGTCTCATTGTGACCTAAATTCAGCAGCCTTGAATCAGTCTCATTGTGACCTAAATTCAGCAGCCTTGAATCAGTCTCATTGTGACCTAAATTCAGCAGCCTTGAATCAGTCTCATTGTGACCTAAATTCAGCAGCCTTGAATCAGTCTCATTGTGACCTAAATTGAAAGTAACACAGGAAAATCAGTGGTAGTAAATGAATGATGTGCAATTGTTAATATTGCAGTTCAGAAAGTTGGAACAATAATACAAGACATGTTTGGAAAAAAGTACAATATTGTTAGGCTACTACCTAATGATTCAAGTATTGTCCAATGCCTCTTTCATTTATGAGGTCAGCGAGTGTTAAATAAGAGTAAAATTTCTGTTCATAGATGGCTCTGCTGAGTAACCTGCATCGTGCGTATGGACCATTACGGAGCGTGCTCACCCTGAGGGAGATGGCCGACCTTGTTGTCTTGGTTATCACTAGAATGCCAAAGTCTAAGGAACTGCCAGAGGATGTACAGCGCAATAAGTTGGACTTTATACAGGAAACGGTCAACTCAGAACTTTTCGAGGCCGATGGTGTGTATCGTCTTTCATTTCCATCGTTTTATTATTTCAATATTTATCTTATTATAGATCTTTTAATCTTTCTTAGTGAAAACAATATAGTAACTTCATTAATACCAGAATAGATTTGCTTTTACTTGCATACAATGTAGACCATTTTAATATCTTTTTTGCCATTTTCAAATTCATTGAAGATTTCAAAAAATCTGCATTACAAAGAACTTTTATGAAAGGAACTCTGTCAGACAGAAATTACAATCAAGTACTGTATCATAAATACACAGCTGTAAGAGGGCAGATCATCCTGGAAATTTGGAGGGTTTCACTTACTTAGATTCTCTGCATCCTTGAAATATGTCATGGCAAAAAACGAAGGCACACAATCTGATTGGTGTCAAGTAAAAAAACTCACCAATCACTAGTTTGATACCTTTTGAAAATTACAAAAGATCGACACCCGACTTCAGAGCTGGTCAATTTTACCATTTTGCTGCTGCATGATTCTTTTGAAGTATTATAAAGGATCAAACTAGTATAACTGTATCATAGACAAGGTGGCATGGACAGAGTGTTCAGTTTCGCCATGACATGTCCCAGTGGTGAAGAGAAAGTAAGTGAGCGAGGTATGATACAGAGTTTTATGTTGCTTTCAGAGTCCCGGGGTATCATCTTACCACTGTGTCTAAGTCAGATCAAGTACTGTATGATAGAAAAGTTCATGCTACCACAAGTGACCAGTATCCTTGGTGATATCCTCAACAACGTGTTCCACATGAAACAGGTAACCATGACAAGACATCAAAGGGGAAAAATTTCATATTTAATTCCAGACTAAACATAAAAATTATCATAATTTCACAGACCGAAATTTAGAAACATAATCATGCATAATTCACAAAATATTGTTAATAATGTATACATGTTAAATATTGGTCGAGACACTCATATTTGAGTAATCTATCTAGCATCCTTGGAATCATTTAAAAACAATATTTGACAAGAGTGATGATTTTAATTACAAGCGGCATTATGGATCAGGATATAAACCGCGGGTAAGTTTTACTATGGATACCTCCCCTAACTGAATTATCTCCCCTTGTCAGGTCACATCTTGCGACAAACAGTTTTTGAAGTGTTTGAGGTTGAGTCTTTGAATGCACATATTATATTGTAACTATATTCTTTAATGATTTCCTTTAATGACTACTGGGTATCCTGTTATTTCCCCTATATCTGTCCAGGATATAGCCGAGTACAACACTAAACACTTGTTTTGGTGTGCTCATGTTTCGTAGTCATGAAACCATTCTCATGCTCAAGTTGAGATTTTGTGCTCAAGCCAAGTTTCTTGTTCTGGTGCTAAAGGAATTATTATTTGCATTTTGTAAATGATTTGGAGGATTTTTGGAGAATTGCTGAATACTGTTTTCAATATCTAGACTTGACTTGTTGACAGTATCGTAAGATTTATACAAGGCACAAGAAAGTTGGTTTCGAGCACAGAATCTATGATTGAGCATGAGAACGGTTTCATGAATACGGACCCAGATGTTTATTCACGGAACTGTTGCAGATTGTAGCACATTCATAATTTACCCATACATTAATTCATTCCTCAGTTTAAACAAATCATGCAATTGGACTGAAAATGTTGTTGTGTTATATTAATCCTTGTCAATCCAGACACAACTGATCCAGTTGTCCCACTGTCCTGGGAACAGATTTCTCTTTACTCTAGTCATCCAAACTTTCAAAATCATCTCATTACGGATTTTGGCTGGAAGTCAAGGTGGCCATATTAAGGGGGCATAACTTTGTGTTTACAAGTGTAAGCTTCATAGCCTATTAAAGGACATTAAGATTTATCTGTACTACTCAGTTTGTATGTGACCCAAGCTTTAAAATTGTAGGTCTAGATTCAGAAGTAGTTTGACCTTTACCCTCTCTATCACTTCTGCATGGTTAAGACCTGTCTTTCTAAGAATGTTCTTTTGAATATCAAGTTTTCCATGTATTCCATCCATTATGTATTACTTAGATTTCCCTAGGAACTGCACGTGGAATGTTTATTATTTGGCTGCTGATTGTAATGTCTTCCTCGGTTTAATTTTACTTGAGAAATTGTTATAAAAATTATGTGAAACTATGTGAGAGTCTTTGTGATACCAATGCATTCTCTGGTATGGGGCTATACACTATATGTAAAGTATTCATTTCGTCTGTTTTTCTTCATTTCATATCTTTTATTAATTTGATTGCATCATTTTGTATGATGCCTTTTGTAGTGTATACCAATTTATTTATTAGTCTTAAATGAGAGTTCTTACTCCTGAACAAAAGACTACACCAAAGATATTTCTTTGTAGATAAGTGTTTTCCTCAGCCTTTTCTAGTAACTCCATGTAATTACTTGTGATTACAGAAGCGATGTATGCAGCAGGACATGAAGACGATGGTACTGAGCGTGTTCGAGGTGATACTACAAACTGTTTTGGCCCTCACAGAGAAATCACTCCTCTCTTTACATCACCAGGTAAGTCACTGTCTTTCTACCTCTCTGTCCACAATATGTGTCTGTTTTTTCTCTCACCTCCCGTTCTCACTTCTGACGTCTGGTCCCTCTCTTTCCCCATTTGTTAAGTTTACCTTCCATCATCTACTCTCTTCCTCCCAATATACTTAGTATTTTACCCCATTTCTTAACTCCATGTCATCTCCCTTCCCTCATCCGTTCATTTTATACCGTTTCCTGTCCTTATTCCTTCACATTTTCTTTCCCCCTCTACCTCATTCACCCTCTCACCCCTCCATATATTTACTCTTCATCTTATTCTCTTGTCCCCATATTTTCATGTTCCTGACACTCGCCTTCAGAATTTCTTCTCAACATAGTCAGTGTCCTTCCCATACTGCAGTGCCATACGGTGGGTATATACTCCCTGCCTTCCCATACTGCAGTGTCCTACGGTGGGGATATACTCCCTGCCTTCCCATACTGCAGTGTCCTTAGGGGGGTAGATACTCCCTGCCTTTCCATACTGCAGTGCCCTACGGTGGGTATATTCTCCCTGCCTTCCCATACTGCAGTGCCCTACGGTGGGTAGATACCCCCTGCCTTCCCATACTGCAGTGCCCTACGGTGGGTATATTCTCCCTGCCTTCCCATACTGCAGTGCCCTACGGTGGGTAGATACCCCCTGCCTTCCCATACTGCAGTGCCCTACGGTGGGAATATACTCCCTGCCTTCCCATACTGCAGTTTTCCCATACTGCAGTGTCCTACGGTGGGTATAAACTCCCTGCCTTCCCATACTGCAGTGCCCTACGGTGGGTATATACTCCCTGCCTTCCCATACTGCAGTGCCCTACGGTGGGTAGATACTCCCTGCCTTCCCATACTGCAGTGCCCTACGGTGGGGATATACTCCCTGGCTTCCCATACTGCATTGTCATACGGTGGGTATATACTCCGTGCCTTCCCATACTGCAGTTTTCCAATACTGCAGTGCCCTACGGTGGGTATATACTCCCTGCCTTCCCATAACTCATTGTCACTCCCACTGTGATACTCACTACCCTTCCAAAAATGCAATGTCCATCCTATTGAGTGCTCCATGCCCTTTCAATAATGCAATGTCTTCCCATTGGTTGTTCCATGCCCTTCCCGTAATTCAATGTCCATCCAATTGTAGATACTCACTACCCTTCCCACAAAGCAATGTCCTTCCCATTGGAAGATTTTGGTCAAACTTTATTCAAAGGTCAAGTATGGGTATACTTTGGACATCGTTGTATTTCAGGGATCCAAGGTCAAGGCTAAGGTCACACTTGCTATATATAGAAAATCATCAACTTATTCAATTCAAACACTTAGCAACTTCATTCAATATGTTATGGAGATGGTAATAACATACAGAAAAATCATATGAATATTAAAATCAACTTTAAGTGCAGTACCTTGTGTGTGTTCATGTTTCAGGGTATCAAGATCAAAGTGGTTGTAACTTTTTATAGAACACTGAAACTAATTTCGCATGGCAGCGGGGGCATTTATGTCTTACAGACATTTTCTAGTTCTTTATATGTTACATCCCTACATTTTCTTGGACTTTGTTATGACCTTGAGTGTTAACCTTGACCCCATGTTACACAAGCTTTGGTATTTTTTTTAATGTAGGTAGATAGACCATATGGCCGAATTGATTAAAGACAACATACAAGTTTTAATAGAATCAGATTTGTTGATAAAGGTCAGGATTTATTTGTATCCAGTTTCACAAAGAATGATATTGACCTTGGAGTGAAATAAAGGAATGGGCATGTCTGTAACATGTCGATGGTACATTGTAGTATGGGCTTTGGTCAACTAACTTGTGGTGTTTTTCACTGAAACATGATGTTGTGAATTATATCTGAGCTAACAATGAAAGTCGTATCTATGTATGATATGTGAATTGTTTAGATGTTGGTATGTTTCTGAAAAACAAAAGGTTCCATGTTGATATACATGGGCAACATTGTATTGAATATGAAGTAAAAACTTGAAAAAAAGATTGGCTTTTTTAAAAATGACCGAAACCAATGTAAATCAGGTATTAACTCATTTACCCCTGAAGACACTTTTGAACTCTTCCAATTCAATGGTTAGAATAGTTCATTATGAAATAGCGGGGGTGAAGGAGTTAGGTGTGTTTTTGCTAATAGCCATGTCCATAAGATGGTCGGTTTAGACATGACACTGTACAACCAAGAGTTACCATTTATGATTCATGCTTCCTAAAGCTACTTATGCTGAGGTTGTAACGAGTTACTAACCAATAATCATGTGAGAACATCACCAGAAGCATGGCACAATGACATTAACACAGTAACCGTTTCTGTCATGATCAGCTATCAAATCCCGAGAAGTTGGACACTGAACCAAAATCTCCTTCACCTCGGAAACGGATGTTCATCGGTAGAAATTCTTCAAACCTAAATGATAAACAAAGACCAGAAAAATATTCTGACTATCGACCAAAAACAGAATTTGAGCCTGTAAAATGGAAAGTATGAAGATTTACAATTTTAACATATTAAGCATGACCTTCTCCTAAATCACACATTTATTCTAGTTTCAATTTATACGGAAAGCAAAATCATGTTATCTCTAATGGAATGAGGATATCTTGGTAACAAGCTAACACTATACATTGCATGAGGGTTGTGTTACTTTAACAATCTCATAGAATCTGTTTTATATAGAACAGGAGTTACACTGGATATCGAGGATATATAATCTGTATTATATAGAACAGGGGTTACACTGGAAATCGAGGATATATAATCTGTATTATATAGAACAGGGGGTACACTGGATATCGAGGATATAGAATCTGTATTATATAGAACAGGGGTTACGCTTGATATAGAGGATATAGAATCTGTTTTATATAGAACATGAGTTACGCTGGATATCGAGGATGATATAGAATCTGTATTATATAGAACAGGGGTTACGCTTGATATAGAGGATATAGAATCTGTTTTATATAGAACAGGAGTTACTCTGGATATCGAGGATGATATAGAATCTGTATTATATAGAACAGGGGTTACACTGGATCTCGAGGATATAGAATCTGTATTATATAGAACAGGGGTTACACTTGATATAGAGGATATAGAATCTGTTTTATATAGAACAGGAGTTACGCTGGATATCGAGGATGATATAGAATCTGTATTATATAGAACAGGGGTTACACTTGATATAGAGGATATAGAATCTGTTTTATATAGAACAGGAGTTACGCTGGATATCGAGGATGATATATAATCTGTATTATATAGAACAGGGGTTACACTGGATATAGAGGATATAGGATCTGTATTATATAGAACAGGGGTTACACTGGATATCGAGGATGATATATAATCTGTATTATATAGAACAGGGGTTACACTGGATATCGAGGATATATAATCTGTATTATATAGAACAGGGGTTACACTGTATATAGAGGATATAGGATCTGTATTATATAGAACAGGGGTTACACTGGATATCGAGGATGATATAGAATATGTATTATATAGAACAGGGGTTACACTGGATATCCAGTGTAACCCCTGTATTATATAGAACAGGGGTTACACTGGATATCGAGGATGATATAATACAGATTCTATATCATCCTCGATATCCAGTGTTACCCCTGTTCTATATAATACAGATTCTATATACTCGATATCCAGTGTAACCCCTGTTCTATATAAAACAGATTCTATATCCGCGATATCCAGTGTTACCCCTGTTCTATATAATACAGATTCTATAGAACAGGGGTAACACTGGATATCGAGGATGATATAGAATCTGTATTATATAGAACAGGGGCTACACTGGATATCGAGGATATAGAATCTGTATTAGATAGAACAGGGGTTACACTGGATATCGAGGATGATATAGAATATGTATTATATAGAACAGGGGTTACACTGGATATCGAGGATATAGAATCTTTATTATATAGAACAGGGGTTACACTGGATATCAAGGATATAGAATCTGTATTATATAGAACAGGGGTAACACTGGATATCGAGGCTATAGAATCTGTTTTATATAGAACAGGGGTTACACTGGATATCGAGTATGATATATAATCTGTATTATATAGAACAGGGGTAACACTGGATATCGAGGATATAGAATCTGTTTTATATAGAACAGGGGTTACACTGGATATCGAGGATATAGAATCTGTATTATATAGAACAGGGGTTACACTGGATATACAGGATATAGAATCTGTATTATATAGAACAGGGGTTACACTGGATATCGAGGATATAGAATCTGTATTATATAGAACAGCGGTTACACTGGATATACAGGATATAGAATCTGTTTTATATAGAGCAGGGGTTACACTTTATATCGAGGATATAGAATCTGTATTATATAGAACAGCGGTTACACTGGATATACAGGATATAGAATCTGTATTATATAGAACAGGGGTTACACTTGATATCGAGGATGATATATAATTATATAAATTATATTTCCAGCTGTTAATTAGCATGCAACTCACAAAAGGAAAATAGACAGAAGTGCATGTTGTTTGATCCGAAGAATTATTTATATATTTATATAAGATCGGTATAGGTGCTACCTTACTGTGATATTTACCTCCTTTCAGAAAGAAGTCCACATAAAAAAAAAAACGTTTAAAAAATGTACATTAACATCGCTATGGTAATCTAAATTGAGGACCTAACTGATGAAACTTAGAGGCAAGGGAGATAACTCTTAGAACAAATCACTGGTGTATTGATAACATGGAAACTAATATAAATATAGATCATTAATACATTCTACTAAATCTCTATCACCTCGGAAATATCATTAATACATTCTATCAAATTTCTATCACCTTGGAAATATCATTAATACAGTCTACCAAATTGCTATCACCTTGGAAATATCATTAATACATTCTATCAAATTTCTATCACCTTGGAAATATCATTAATACAGTCTACCAAATTTCTATCACCTTGGAACTATCATTAATACATCCTACCAAATTTCTATCGCCTCGGAGATTTAACAATGTTTTTCATTGGTCAGCAGTGATGTGTTATTGGATGTGTCCCAGGACTATTAAGCATGTACGATGCTGTTCCTAAAGCACTGTCAAGTGTTTTTGAAATGCATATCTGATCATTTGACATCTATTAGCATGATCATAGGAACAGCCAAATTTTAAATCTATATTATCTGGATATACAAATGTATTTTGTAAGTTTTGACATTGTAGAATTGATGTTCTTAACATGTGTTCATATTTTATGATGGGCTATATAGCTACTGATTTGAATTGTTGTTAAAAAAAATCTTGAGTTTGACTTTGTAAATTATTTTTCTAAAACATTTTCTTACCTTCTAAAATGTAGTCCAGCTCCATAGTCGATGATATTGAATTTGATCTTGGCTGCTCTTGACTGTCTGATAAATTACTGACAGTGTTTCATTGATAAGACCAAGTTAAAATATCTCTTTTTTGCCTTATATGAGAAGCATGTGGAACATTATCTTTTAAAATTCAATTTTACAAGAACCATACTGAACCATTTACTGATTCTTATAACACAATATCCTTTATTTAGTTTTTGGGAATAAATGAAACATCTGACCAATCTCCACTATTCATGCTTCAACTTCCCAAGTCATTTTTATGTAAGACTAAAAAATACATGGTATCTGACTTATGAAGAATGCGTCCAGACACCATTGAATGATTTTTGAATTATGTTTTTATGGGAGACAACTCCAAATTTTTAACAAGTTTGAAGAATTTCATTGAGACACACTTTGTGTGTATTTTCATGGATCACCTGGCAAACAGAGAATAATGATATAATAATTTTGAAAATAGGTTGGATATTTTGTTTTCGATCTCAAAGCAGCATATAAAAAGGTGGACGGACTGGTGCAGGTATTACAGGGTGATGGAAAAATTCAAAATTATAGAAAGCATGTAACTTTGCATCAAAATGTAGCAATGACTTTGAACACGGCATGATTGATATCATAGTTTGATCAATTATTTTAATATGATGTTGTAAATAGATATTCTCAAACAAGTTCCCCTTATTACATATAATTTTTAAGAAAACAATTTCAAAGTTTCATAAAACTCAGATGAAAGGGAAACAACGTTCAGATTTATTAAGCCGTATAGTGTACTCAATTACTGTTAATTTTGACAATTCCACAGATACCATATCTAACAATTTGGGTGTGAGGCTCACAAGAACTGAAGTCACTATATAGGTGATGCTTAACATGTTATATATTTAAATTCATGTGATGCTGTTATTCCATTTTATAATGTCCAGATGAAAAAGACTTGATAATCAAGTATTTTTAATCTTAGTACAAGTTTTTTAAGATATTTACTGCTATGTCTACATATGTGCTTGGTTGAGTGATTTGCTAAAAGTGGGTTTGTTGCGGGACACCAAGTAGGATAGCTGTTTGAACATCTCTGTATTACTTGACCTGATACAAGTTGTTAGGAGCCAAACTTCCTAAAATGAATAACTTTTTGTGAAAGATTTATCCAGTTTGATCAATTAAGGAAATATCAAGGTCACAGTGATTGTACAGAGGTCACAAACAAAGACTATATATAAAACAATTTATCATGTCTAACATTGCATGGCAATGATATTATCAAACAAAAACCAAATGATAATTACAGTCATGGCACAATGAATGCCATTACTCAGTTGTGATGTCATCATTATTATGACCTCATATAATAGCAACCTTATAAAATACTGACACTAGCTGTGTTGGTTTGAAAAATTGAATTTATCACAACGTAACTGTATTGTACGACAAAGTGTCTATTGATGGTCAAAGTAATTGTATTTTATGACGAACTATGTTTATGACAAAGTAACTTTTGTATGACAAACAACATCATGACAAACTATATCTATGATAAAATAACTGCTTTATGGTAAAATAATTATACATGGAATATATTGTGTGTAGCATGGTAAATTAAATCACAGTAACTATATTGTACAACATGGTGGTAAGTTAACTGTATGATGCGGAACGCCTCCTCCTGTTTGTAGAAGCTTGAGATCAACCACATGGTACCAATGTGTCAAGACGTATCGTCCGCCATCGCTCCGTCCTCCAGTCTTGCTTCAACACTTTCAGCCGAAAAACTGGCAAAAGTTTCTGTAATTATCTTCATCACAATTTTAAAGGAATTATGTCCTATATACGTAATATCATAATCATTTACGTAGTATCCTATTCATGTATATGTCGCTAACTCTGCTACAGAGTACACGCTTCAGCAATCATAAGCTGACCTCAAAATATAGCCAAAATCTAAATGTATGCTTGCATGCTCACATAAACACATGTTCCCCACGATTGCTTGAGATCGGTCGTGTGTGTTCAACATCAGCATCTTCTATCCTGTATTTGGTCAGTGGACTTTTCCTTCCATTAGTTCATTTTTCTGAACTTTCATTGGTTCTATTCCTTTCTGTGAGAAATGACCCTTGCTATGTGTAGAATGTCTCTATCATGTTTTGAATAGTTCTCCAAGCTCCCTGTCTTGAAGACGATGCCTGTATCTGCTATTACAAGTACATGTACATTGTATCACAAGAGGATTCCTGCTGTTACTTCTTTGAATGTGTTTTATCTGCATATGTTTCATGCATATATGTTTTGTCAAGTCCTTTCAATTAGTGACAGCGAAATTAAATGATTAACTCCTGCAGATAAGGTTTGGGTTGTCTGTCTGTCCGTCTATCTGTATACAAAATCTTTTCAGCAAAACTTATATAGTTTTCAGCTGAATTTCATAAAAATTCACTGATGTAATCAACACACTGAAGAAGTGCGTCTGTGACCACCCATTTTATGGGAGTTTTTACATTTTTCAGCCAAATTTCATGCAACTCAATATATTAAGTTTTGCACATGAAATTAATATATCGAGTTGGTTATTTTTTATAGGAGTTATGCCCCTTTGTTTAAAAACATTGTTCATTCAGATTCGATTGACACTTGGTCAGCATAATACTTGCATTGAGGGGAAAGGAATAAGAATATAAAGTGGAGTTTCCTCCCCTTTTAATGGAGTTATGTCCCTTTCTTTAAAAATATTGTTTGCACTAATCTGCACAAAATACTCCACTGATTTAAATGATACTTGGTACTTAGAACCTTACGCTGTGGGGGTATTAATAAAGTATATACATCCAAATTAACCTTTCTGTTTATGGAGTCTTGTCCGATTATTTAAAGATGTTTCAGATAGACTAATTCCTGCAGTTCCTTGCACAGGTGGAGGGTAAAAGTAGGCCATTCTGGTGACAGTTCTACTTTTGAATTTATACTAACCCTATGTTGTTCTTTTTCAGTTTAGGCAGGCCCATCAGGCCTTAAATCATATAATGATCATGCTTGCATAAAAAGACAAACAACCACCTATATTTCTTGTTGTTGAGTTATTCATCTGCCAAAAATCCAACAAAATGTTCAGAGTGATTTTTCGTAGATTCATGAAAAACTGTTTGCGAAATATGTTCCGGAATAAAAGATGCTTTTTGATGTGAATTGAAATTTGAAACTGAGAATGCCACAAAAGTTGTTGCCATGCTTGGAAACACCCAAACTGCCTGGGACACTAGTCAGGAGGACAAATTCCTCTTGGGGGGCTCCAGAGGTTGACCTGTATGCATGTGAATTAAGTATACATGCAGATACAGTGAAATGTATAAGTGGAGAATGAAATGGCTTAAGCAATGCTTGCAATCTAAACAGACTTTTGTGCATGGAATGAGATTGGTAGCATTGCCTTACTAATGCTGTCACTAACTATATTTTTACTTTAATGCAATATTTTTACAAGTTTTGTTTAGATGCAGTATTAGTTTGCTATTGTAAATATAACAGCATTGTAAGGGAAATATAACGGCATTGTAAGGGAAATATAACGGCATTGTAAGGGAAATATAACAGCATTGTAAGGGAAATATAACAGCATTGTAAGGGAAATATAACAGCATTGTAAAGGAAATATAACAGCATTGTAAGGGAAATATAACTGCATTGTAAGGGAAATATAACAGCATTGTAAGGGAAATATAACAGCATTGTAAGGGAAATATAACAACTTTGTAAGGGAAATATAACAGCTTTGTAAGGGAAATATAACAGCATTGTAAGAAGGAATTTGTAATAAGCATGTTAATAATTAACATGTTTTACTGTGTAATGCAAATAGTTTTGTGATAGAATCACATACATTTCAACTCATAAAGACCATAACTAGTTTCCATGTGTGATGATGCCCTGTAGTATTTTAATGTTATGTTGGTCAAAAACGATTTGTGTTAGATATCTCCAAACTGACTGAGCACTTCAAAGGTAAAAAAAAAAAAAAAAAAATTATGTACATGTAGATCTTTATTTGTTACCTTTAATACAGTTGGAGACAATTGGTGTCCTCAAGAGAATTTTCCCAAGTTTAACTTGAATTGTCTCCCTTTTGTAGGGTGAGCTGATATCCTGCCTGGTGGACATGCTACGCCTGATGGACGAGGACCACTACGAAGCGGTGATGAAGATGTTCCCCGAACAGCCACCACTTAAGGTGTGTAAATATCTCACAAAAATTAATTGCAAGTAGTAATGATTAGATCAATACATGTATTTAAAATTAAAGAAAGGTATATCTTGGTAACTTGTATATTTATTAATATGTACATATATATCTTTACACTAATCAAACTAATATGTTTTAAGTATTTTGAAGAATCTTGATGATATTAATGTTTTACTCATTCATACCTGAAATTTGATAATAAACTAGTTCCAACCATTGAATTGGAAGAGTTCAAAGGTGTCTTCAGGGGTGAATGAGTTACAGTTGCTTTACAGCTTTTAAATATGTAACAGCTAGTTTTGAGGATTGATAAAACTTCATGTATACTTATTATACACCAATTATGCAACAAGTTCAGGGGGTCTTATTAATGATGATAAAAACTGGAGTGCCTGGAGAAAACAATTAATTTGGGCAGGTGACCCTATACCTTTTGATATCCCATTGAACCCCAGCTCTCTTGGTAAAAGACAACCATGCTATCCATTGCTCCACTGGACCACCTTTGAGCTGATGTTTGGGCCATGATTAATACCTTAAGTTGATGGATTTTCCTGTTGCAGGATTTTTTGTTGAGAGTTTTTCTGACATTCCAAGAGCTGATTAAGCCAGAGGTGTTCCCTCAACACTGGACAGTCATGAGGCTGGTCACCAACAAGTAAGTCTCAATCACAGAGGTCAAGGTCACCATCAAGTAAGTCTCAACCACAGAGGTCAAGGTCACCAACAAGTAAGTCTCAATCACAAAGGTCAAGGTCACCAACAAGTAAGTCTCAATCATAGAGGTCAAGGTCACCAACAAGTTAGTCTCAATCACAGAGGTCAAGGTCACCAACAAGTAAGTCTCAATCACAGAGGTCAAGGTCACCAACAAGTTAGTCTCAATCACAGAGGTCGAGGTCAACATCAAGTAAATCTCAATCATAGAGGTCAAGGTCACCAACAAGTTAGTCTCAATCACAGAGGTCAAGGTCACTAACAAGATAGGGTACATTCGCGGTACTGGTTGAAACGATTGAACCGGTTGAACCTGTAAAGAAAACGACAGGTACAGATCTGGACCGAGGCTGACCTCAGAAAAATTTGGCACGTGTAGATTCAGGGGTCCAGACGTGCCTGACTGAAACTAAAATGCTGACTATTGCCAATTTGCGTTATTTCTTTCTAAAACAATGTCAAGTCACATGTAGTTTTTAAGATACATTATGTAATTCAGTGGACGGATAAAAGAAGGTCATAATATTCTTGAAACACTCTTTTTTATTCTCCGAAACTGGATTTTTAGCTCTGCTTATAGAACGGTCCAAGTGTGTTCGTTTATCGTGGAAAAATTCTGCGCCACACGTATCGTTTCAACCGGGATATGCGAATGTAGCCTTGGTCTCAATCACAGAGGTCAAGGTCACCAACAAGTTAGTCTCAATCACAGAGGTCAAGGTCCCCAACAAGTAAGTCTCAATCACAGAGTTCAAGGTCTGCACCAACAAGTAAGTCTCAGTATCGGAGGTTAATGTCACCAGCAAGTCAAAATTAGAGGTCACGGTCACTGTTAACTAAGAAGATTAAAGGTCAACATCACCAATATTTTTATCTCGATATCAGTTGTCAAAGTCACCGACAATTAAGTCTCAATATTAGAAGTCAAGGTCACCAGCAAGACAGTCAAGGCCATAGGTCATGTCTAGTTAAGTCAAGATCAGAAACCAAAGTTCCCAATTAGAAAGTTATTATCACAGTTTAAGGTCATCAAACAAGAAAATTGGTGTTAAAAATCAATGGCATCAATACACAAGGCAAGTTAAGGTGAAGTTTAAATACCAATCATTCAGATTTAGTGTCACATCATCAAAAATATTCTGCAGATGTCAAGTTCACATAGGAATCAGTGATATAATTAATTGTTACCAGTCAGGAAGTAAAGGTCACAGCAAGGTCAGTGATTCATTAATGAATTCATCAAAGATTAAGTCATTTCCCGAGATCAGTAAATGAATGACTTCAGGAGCAAAGTTCTGATCTTTGTTTGTATACTTTTAAAACACTAATTGAGCTGTTTACTTTTTCAGTGTGATATTTACAGCAGTAGAATACTTCTCACAGGCCCTCACCAAACATTTTCTACATTCCGAAGACTTTGACTTATCTGTAAGTATGAGAGGTTACTTTGGAAGACTTGTTAATTTTGGTCCTTCATGTATTTCCCCAATCTAATTAAAATTATATCTTCACATCGCTCCCGTTTACTGATATGTCGCGTTGAAGATCTAACAACATCCCGTAGAGGGTCATGTTCAGGCGACCTTTGCATTAACCAATCAGATGAGAGCTTACGCATTTCTGTAAGTGATGATGTAATGATTTCGGAACACACTTTCTATGATAAAAGACCGAGAGGTGTCAAATGAGCATCGAAAATGGCGGCGCCTTATGACACCACGCCGTGTCTATCTACAAGACAACGTTTGTACAATTTTTGGATTTTGCTTTGAAATAAGAGAGACTTCCTCTGCATTAAATGCTACAGGTCCTGCTTTCTGATTGGTTTAAAGAAAGAGTTATGTCGCGTTTTGATTGGGTTGTTATAAATACGATAATGCATTCATGTTGACCTCTGACGTGACCCTCTACGGGATGTTGTTAGATCTTCAACGCGACATATCAGTAAACGGGAGCGATGTGAAGATATAATTTTAATAAGATTGGTATTTCCCCTGATTTCAGCCGTTACTAGTGCAATCAGCAAATGGTTAAGAAGGCAACAGGCAATTTTTACAGTTATGATTTAATTTGTTTATTTCACTTGACAGTTCGTTTTTATATCCTTTTGTCCAAAATAAATATTCACACTTTTCTGTATAGTTTTATTGTTGTTGTCCCATGTGTATCAATATAAGGATTAATTTTCTTCCCTTATCATTATATGTGTTATCTCCCCTTGGTGTCTAGCTGTGGCAGCACTACTTCAACCTGTCCGTCGCCTTTATCACCCAGCCCAGCCTCCAGCTGGAGAAATACTCTGAGGCCAAGAGGAAGAAGACAAAAGAAAGGCAAGTTACTGGAAAACAAACATTTTAGTGATGAATGACTATGGCGTATTGAAGATAAGTTCCTGTGTCAGGTTTATTGTGTTTGACCGATCATGCCTGCATCCACTGAACGTTGTGCCACTACATTCAACATTTTATAAATAATATAACCGTAACAAGACGGTAGACTAGCAATAAATTGAAGAACCTTACCCTGATCTTGTTGCAGTTGTATTTAGCTTAATGACCCCTAGTCCTCAACTGCCCTGTATACCTGTAGGTATCCAAGAGAGGGGTACTGAAACCACCTACACAGCACATGACAAAGACGGCATTGGCACTACTACCTTAGAGCTACATTGAAAACAATCATTCCACAGAAGTTTTATTTCAATGAAATAAAAATTAGTTAATGTAATATTACATGTTCAACATTTTGAATACATGTACTGTAAAAGTGGAAAGTCTTTGCAACCAGCCAATATCTTTCTCAACACCCTGGGGAGCATACAGCGGGTGCTGTCATTTCGGTGCTCACAGCTAGCATTCAACAATTCTAGCTCTGCCCAACCACGTACTCATTTACAGCTGAGTAGACTGGAACAACTTATGACCTATATATGTACTTAATGTGATTTATTATATACCTACAGATACAATGACATGCGGGTACCCATGGGCTATCAGATACAGACACTGTGGGAAAAACTTGGTAAGTACATCAATCTCAAAAATATGTTTTACTGGAGAATTTTTTGAAAAAAATATTTTGAATAAATCGATTGTTGCTTATAATACATGTTTAAGGATAAAGTTATAAATTTATACTCTGTACCATTCATGATTAGCCCTTTGGGGAAATAAATTTGTTGTGACAGATGCATCAGACAATTAATTATAAAAGCACCTGTGTTACTATTTCAGGTAACAACCAACGTCATTTCATACCGTCTCTTATTGGTCCGTTCCTGGAGGTGACCTTGGTACCAGAACATGAGTTGAGGTCAGCCACCTTGCCCATCTTTTACGACATGATGAAATGTGAACAGAGAGTCAACAGGAACTTCCTGCTGGTCAGTAGTCATAAATAAGGGAGATAAATACAGGTTTATACAGGAGACACAGCCATTGTAGTAGAGTGGGTTATTGGCACGACTCTACTGGATTATATTTTCTGCTTTAGGACAAAGGTTAACTCATGATGGACAAAATATTTGACACTGTATCTGTACTGAAAGAAGTACTGAGGGATTTATTTTTATCTTTGGTGTTGTAGGTTGAGAATGAAATGATAGAGAAACTGGATATTTTCATCACGACATGCAGCAAGGGTGATAACCAGTACAAGGAACTCTTCAAGGCAATGTAAGTCCATGATTTTATCTTTCATTGTAGAAACAGTAGTACTCAAAGATTGGAGCTGTAATATTAATCTAAAACAACAATATAGGTACAAGCATCCATCCCTTATGTTGTTGGAGCTACTTCCCTTTGTGCAATGGTCGCAGTAGACAAATCAGATGTTTGTCCATATTTGGAGGTGTTTAAATTAATGCATATGTCCATACTTAGATATTCTCTTTAGACAGATGACTCTTTTCTGTAAATATGCATTTCTATGCTTATACATATACAACAGTTTCTATTGACTGGTGGATAAATGGATGATGTATCAAAGGTTTAGCTACATATGTAACGACAGAAAAAGTGGAATTATATATAGAAATATAGCCCTCTGATTTTTGGCTGGTTGATGTAAAACAGTTGCTGTACTTGCCAACAAACATTCTTACCACATGCAGGATTACACTGGTGTAATTATGATGGTGCTGTGTATGCGATGTGGAGAATCCTCTGTGTGCAATTTCAAAAGGAACTGTATTAATGATTGACTTTGAAATAGAAGGGCCTCTATAAAAAGATCTTGGCATTTGCACAGTTCAAAAATGCTAGTTTCTGATATATATATTGAACAATGTTGAAACTTGATAGAAGCTAAACCAGCTGACACTGCCATTATCACCACTGCTGTCCACACACAGGTCCGTTTATAAATACACTGTTTAGAAACTATTTGACATGGTTATACTTGTGAAATACATTATTATTACATCATACTACAATTATCTAAACAAAAACCCTACAATCAAATTTGACTGTCCTCCTACTGATTGTAAATAATACCACAATCATCTGAATAAAAACCCTACATCAACTTTTACTGTCCTCCCACTCATTATAATCCTACCACAATTATCTAAATAAAAACCCCACCATCAACATTTTCTCTTTGTCCTCTCAATTATATCGTGCCATAATTCTCTTAATAAAAAGCCTACCACAAGCTTACTCATGATTACACTTTAATTTTCAAAATGAAATCCCTCTGTCGGAATCATCACATTATTAGGCCCCTTCATCGGAGATACTGGTATAATTATCACAATGTCCATCTTCTCATCTGTGTGTCCTTCCACACTTTTGTTTCTAAAGATTATCTTAGAATCCATAAGATATATCTTTTTGAATTTTGACATTGTGAGACACTGTGATATGTTAATATGCAAACAGGGATTTAAAATGTTTCTATGGTTAAGGTCACTGTTACTAAAAATAGATCTTGGGGATGGGAGTTAGAGGTTTTAGTTTCAATCTTTATCTCAGCATCCAAAAGAGTAATCTTTTTAAAATTTGACACAATGATTCACTGTGATATGTTAATGTGCAAAATAGGTTTAAAAAAAGTCTTAAGTTCAAGGTCACTTTAAAAGGCGAGGAGGGAGTTGTACTGTCAGGCACACATGGCAGCTAAGGTCCTTGCTGCATTGTCAGTGTCCTAGTGTTAGTGTAGTTATAAGTAACCCTGCTCCAAATTATATAGAACTTGGGCATGTCTCACTATGTCGTCTTTATTCAAAATCAGAAAATATATGACCTTGAAACACAACTAGATCTAAAGGGATATGGATTACCTTGACAACTTTTTTTATCTTCTTGCATTTTCTGGAAGTTAAAATTCAAACTCAAAGAGGATTGGTGCTTGCTATATCATCATTAGTATTTACATGTATAACAAAGATCTTTAGTGATATCTTGTGTATAATAGCACAATGTGGGCTTCATGTTGTTAATATAGGTACAAAAAATCCATTATAAGTATACTGGTAGTTTATTTTCTTCTGATACAATTTATTTTTATGAAATTTTCACCAAAGACCAGAAATATTTTCAACAAAGACCAAAAAGTATCTGAAAATTTCCCTGGAGTTACAAAAGTTGAAGGCATATGCAATATGAAGTTCTTAAGACTTTATTGTGTGTGGTACAACCACTTTACTTAAAAGAATATAACTAATATTGCTGTCATGTCAGATCTGTTAGTGCTGTTGTTTTTGTCCTGGATTCTACTGGAATTGTAATTAGGTAATGTTGAAGATGTATAAAGAGAAAGCAAATTACGTTATACTTGACAGTGACATGAGGAGGCAGAATATATGTTCAAAGGCTTTGTGTGAACTGTCAACATTATACAATAAGACTCTACAAGGCTGGACCTGTGTTAGCTCAACAGACATAAGTCTCTCAAGTGTTTGGTTGAACATTGATATCTCCAAATGCCAAACATCAAAATGATCCTGATCAGGTATCCTGAGGGGAGATAATCAGGGCATGGATTACCTTAATTACACAAATATCACCTGAAATCTGTCAAATAAATGTCTAGTGTACTTAGGCTTAAGTAACACCTCTGTCTGTTTCCTGTCTAATCCTCACTTAAGTGTAACTTCAAGCTCTGTATTATTTTGAGGTTTACAGTTCATCAGTTCACCTTGTGTACAAATATACTAAAAATGCTGTTAAATAAATGTTATTGAAGAAAGAAAGGAAAGCCAGGTTTGATAACATTAATAAATCCTGTTTTACACTGTAATGTAGTGTCCTACCCAGAATGTGTGGGGTGTTCTAGGCCTTCAGTGCTATGTGTGGGGTGTGATGAGGGGGATGATAAGGGTGGGACAACATTGGAGGTCCTTGTCTGATCCCCTAAACCCTATGTCAAACACTCCCATCCCCTGGTCAACAGTAGCGACAGACAGCAAGGAGTCACATACAATCCGGCGCTTCAATGTGTAACTATGGTTTATTTCAAATTAATGAAGGAGTTGAATAATCCAGACAACCAGACTATTCATTTTCAGTTTCCTTTTCATCTGAAATTAGACAATAATGTACTTAAAGTTTTATTTAATGTCAGTTTATTACTGGAAGTTAATTTGAGTGTTTCCTTCAATAATGCCATTTCTATTCATACTGAAGTTAAGTGCTCATTTATTGGGAAATTAAATGCCCGTTTTATCTGAAATAAAAGTTTCATTTATAGGAAACGGGGGTGTACTACTAGTACTACTCATGTATCAACCAACAGTGGTTGAAAATAACGTACCTCATTGATCTTTTTAGGTCACCTGAGATTTCAAGTGACCTATTCCGATCACTTTCCGTCCGTCGTCATCCATCATGCGTAAACTTTTTACATTTTCAACTTCTTTTCAAGAACCAGTGGATGGAATTTTTTCAAACTAAGTCAAAATTATCCTTGGTAGATGAGGCTACAAAAAATGTAAAATTGGGATTCCTACCCAAACCCTAGAGGCCGGGGCGGGGCCCCAAAGGGAAAGTTACCCAATATTCAAAAATCTTCTTCTCCATACTCAGAGGTACTACAGTCATTTTCTCTGCATGGATGGAAAAGATGGCTTTATTTAAATTGTAAATTTCAGGACCCCCAGGCCATCCCTTCTCCCTGTGAGAGGGGGTAAAGTTTACTATAGTTTATATAGGGAAATAACACTTTTGTGAATATTTTTACAATTTTCTGTAGGAAATTATTCTTACTTGGTGAGAATTATCCTTGGAGGAAGATGGTTTTAACATGTAAAATTGGGATTCCTATCCAACCCTAGGGGCCAGGGCGGGCCCCAAAGGGAAAATTTAACAATATTTCAAAAATCCTCTTCTCCAGACTCAAGGTACTACAGTCAATTTCAGGACCCCTGAGCCATCCGTTCCATCTTGGGGTGGGGGTAAAGTTTACTCTAGTTTATATAGGGAAATAACACTTTCAGAAGAAAATTTTCCCAACTTGGTCAGAATCATTTTTGATGGATGAGGGTATTACATTGTAAAATTGGAATTCCTGCCCCATCCCCAGGGCTAGGATGGGGCCCCAAAGGGAACATTAACCAATATTTTAAAATTCTTAATTATGTTTTGATGACATGACATGTATTGTATTTCACTTAGTTAACTTTACATGCTGATTTCCACATCACATCTAAACAATAAAATAAAGCTACCAGTACATATGATATAACTCAGGTGACCGCTACGGCCATGGGCCTCTTGTTTGTGTTAAAGTGACGTTGATTTAATTTTTTTCATGCCATTTCTAAAAGGCTTGATATTAAGATCAACTTCAAAAGTGTCCAATTAAAAGATTATTCAGCTTTAGAACTTTTTCCTTAACTCCTTTCAAATTTTGTATTTTGAGTAGTATTTATTTTAAAAAAACAAAAAAACTAAAGGCAATAGATTAGCAGTATTTCAAAAGTCTTGGTAGTTTATCACCTTTCCAGATTGAATTGATAGGCTCAGAAAATAGTATTATATTGTTTTCAAAAGAACTGGTGCCTGTAACAATGGCGTGTAACTGTAACTGCCCGAGGCCTTTCTCGCCTGTCCTTGGTTCTGATCTGATAAAGACTGTCCCACGTCGGCCCCCCACACACCTCCGAGTCACCTCACCCAATTACCTGTCAATACCTCAACAATATTCCTTCAAAAGAATATAAAAAAAATAAAGAAAAATATTTTTTAAAAACCCCTCCAGGCTAAATGTGGGACCAGTACAACAGAAATCTGTATATGGTAGCCTGAAGGGTGTAAGGTGTAGTAATTTGTCTGTCTTTTTGTTTCTATATTAACCTGGGTGATTTGTAGAAACAGGACAATTTATATGAGATTGAATTGGGATGGACTCCTGGACAATATTTGTTTTATGAAAACAGAATTATTTTTGGCAAAATTACATAGACCATCAATATGTTAAGTTGTGTTACTTGAAACTTCCTCCAGGAAAATATGTTTAGTGAGTGCTGGAAGATGAAATCTGTGTAAAGCAATTTATTTGGAAAATTTGAATGATAACATTGGTACATAAAATTGGAATGCATTAGACAGTGTAGAGAAAAGCGTGGATTTCATTGATTACCTGGATTGATGTTCAAACAAAATTGAAAGGATTTTTTTTCTGTAAATGGAGTGACACAAATCTGAAATAGACATTTCAATAAATTGGTGTTAAA